ATAACAAAATTGAAATAATCAATTTCATCACGCTATTTCTGGGATAATTTGTTACGAAAATACTGAATTATGTATGTCCAATACATCAAAACGTGGTACAATCACAACTTCCCTCAAAGAAACGGATGTCAGCAACTCTCGTGTGTCAAATATCTCGTCTTTTTAGCTTTACAAGTTTGATTAGAAAATGAAATGCTCATAAATAATATCTAAAAAATTTACTAATGCATATTAAAATCAATATTTTTCTATGTTTGTAATAAAAGCCAGCATCTTTTAAAACAGTATCTGAGAATCCCCGTTGATATCTTGATGTCATGGTCAGAATGATAATACATACAGAGGAAGGCATTTATTAACGCATCACATATGGCTTTATGTTGAATTTCTGCTTAAACCGCTGCTGGGGAGCGTGAACAGTAGTTTGCACTTGACAGTACCGTCCATGAACAGGCTCAATCAAACCAAGCCTGCAACATTTTCAATTTTGCCGTGTTGGACTTTCTTAAGGGATTCTTTTTTTTTTCTCTTATTTTTTCTATTCAAAAAACATTTTCTCCGAAACTTTGCTTTGTTGTCATCGCAATGATATATTTACAGTGAAAAACCTGAAAAGTGCACTTACTACAATAACCCATTAAATGTTCTTGGTGAAAGTGCTTTGATATATCCAAGTCCTTTGAGGCTTTTTATTCTGATATTTGTTTATAAGCTTAAGAAGAAGAGGTGAGAAAACGTGAACGATTTTCACCATCACCATCCCTCATGAATATCTGTATCCGAGTCAGCAAATTTTGTTTTAAGCATAAAGAATCATACATAAATACCTTTACACCTCTTAAAATCCTTAACATACAATTCGGATTAGATGAAGTGTTCATCCATTTCAGAAATATTTACTGCATCAGTTATGTACAAATGATTATAAACTAGTTGAAATACAGAAAACAATTTTAAGAAAATTGAAAAAATATTATTTCAATCTATATATTTTAAACATTTAAATGATTCGGAAAATAGTTAAAAAATAAGCAATCGGAAATGTATTTTATCTTATATCTTAAATATATTTATGAATGCACTAACAATGCCTCTGAGATTATCCAATACTAAAACTAAACTTCATTCAAAGTATCATTCATATACGTATATCTCAAGGTCTTGCTTGATACTGGGGTGCATTGTTTTGCATTTACTGGTATACCACAAAATCTCGAAGGTTGAGTTCCAGCATCTGAAGTGACCATTCAGAATCCTTCTACTATGTCACTGTAAAGTTCAAGTTATTCAGTACTTTTTTGTCAGCAAGTTTAACATTTGATAAAGATCGCATAAAGAATTTAAACCGGGCTGTTTGGTACCTACAGTCAAGTTCCACGATATGTTGATGAATGTTCAACATGGAAACTAGTATGCGGTAGAGGATATCCGGAAGACTGAATGGCATGGGATCCTTCGGGATTATTGATGCCAACACTTTTAAATACAGCTCAAGCCGATGATCTGTGACGTGAGGATTGTTGCCCTTTTTCATTATCACGCATGTACAGACTCAATCAAACCGAGTCTGCATTTTCATGTAATTTTGTCGTGATTAATACTTCCGAGGGATCACACTACATTGACAATAGGAGGAATTATGTTATTCCTTAAGCACATCTATTACTGTTGCCACAAGTACTGGTACAAGAACGATGATCCATCGTGCAACAGGACCAATTTAGCCACTCAGTGAAAATAGGAGTCAGTCTGGGATCACGGGGGAGGAACTGTTACACGAAGGGTGGAGTTCTTATGATAACTTCTTTGGAGTTCTTATGATAACTGACACGGAGTTCCTGGAAAACGTTACGGATTTTTGTGGAATTTTTTTCTATATACTTGGAGGACTCGCGTGAAAAATGGTCATTTGACATTATAAAACCGAACGATTGCACTAATTGTTTCTGTGTATACTGTTCGTCAACTATAGTTTTATGTCATATGTTAACGCTGAATTTACAGCAACTACAGAGAAATATATAAGTCGCATAATAGACATGCATATCGTTATTATGACAACGTTAAGTTAATATGCGGTATATAGCTTGGTGTGTAAATAATTTTGTCACGTAAATTTTTAGGTAACTGACTTTTTTTCAGGATTCGGCTGTCAGAAAACCCCAAATCTTTGAAGAAAAGATTGAACATGAAAGTGCTTTGGTGTATAGTCTACAGAGGATAAACAGGTGACAGGCTATCTTCAGGAAAACCTGAATCAGCGGTCACCTGTATTCAGCAGTAACATTGCTTAAACCGCCAAGCAAAAATTATTAAAAACTTACACTTTTTTCTCAGTTACATGTTTTAAGCAACCGCCTTTCTTAAGCAGATAATATATAGTTGGGCTTCCCACAAGAAGCCGCTAAGTAATTTGTATCATTTTATACAATAAACAACAAGTATATAACCGCGATACTCTTCACACCCATGCACCCGAAATGTAAAAATGTCTATTTTTCACGCAAGTTCTCCAAGTACATGTATATAGAAAAGTTTTCCAGGAACTACGTGACAGTTATCATAAGAACTCCATCTTTCGTGTAACAGTTCCTCCCCCGTGGGAATGGCCACTATCAGACTTCAAATCAACGAGAATTCTCAATAAATTAGTAAGGACTTGACAAAGAATTAAGCATAAATATTGTTTAACGATGTCAAAGGGTTATCTTAAATATGCCAAAAAGAAAGCAATCAGCCATCCATACAACATTGAAATACGGTAAATGTACACAATTAATTATTAATGTTATTTCTTTGGTTTCTTCATCAATTTTGTTCAGTCAAGTTTATCCAACTAATGCAACAAATGCAAAAGAAGTTGTTTATTAACCACGACGCAATTTTTCAAGGTGTGCAGAAGTATTTATGGAAGTATACATGTATGTCTTTTGCTTCATACGTCGAAGGCCCTTGTTCTTTTACAGACACATAGCACATTGCAAACCCGTGACAAGTTCCTGCTTTTGAAGTCTTGCCAGTGTATGTGAAAGAGAATAAAGAAAACTAGCTTAATACAGAAAATTAATAAGACCCAACAAGTCTAGATAAGTGATCAGGAGTATTTCCCCCTTTAACAGCTGCATAGCTAGGATATATCACTATCAGATAAGATGTGCCTAGCTGGTTAGCGTTACGAGTAATGAGCTATAATTCTAAACTCTTGTCGATTTACAACAGATCATAGTCTAAATAATTACTCCGGTCCCTCGCCAATAACTATAACCGTTTTGAGTTTATGCAAGCCAAAAGTATACAGTCGCATATTAAGCAATTAGGCACAGTAACGCTGATTATAATACGAGCAACTGTATTTTTTAAATCAATGAACGATATAAACTCATGAGTTTTACAAATTTATATTGCAAACAAGATTTTCTAGGTTGGAATCTAGCATCACAATTTACATGGTAGATCATCGTTTCGTATGATAGTACACTAGAACGGAAACTATAGGACAAACGCCTTCTAGAGCTTTAACACATTCACAGATAGTAGAAACAGAGGGCAAAACAACAAAAACAAGACTTGTGTATTTCATTTTATTTGATAAAATGGTATCAATGAAAAGAACTGCAAATAGAGAATTTTTAAGTTCTAACACTGAACATTCTATATAGGGAATTTATTTGTACATAAAGCTACAAATTGAGTTACAAATGAATTGAAAATCGTGCTCTTATTTATTCACTTGACAAAACAATATTACTTGTAATTGATGTTAAAGCAAAATAATATTGTTATATTTTCATGTCATTGATTTATAAACAACTGCATCTAAATTTCTTCTAGAAAACAGTCAAATCTGCTTCATCATTAGTTGACACATCCATAAAACTTTAACCAGATGGATATTACAGTTATAGTAATTTACTTATTTACAATATTTAGTATAATGTACTGCAAAAGTCCAACTCATATTTCTAACTTTTTTTACATCTAATAACACTTCATAGAAACAATGCAGTTCTCAATCATTAAAGCTGATAAAAAAAACATTAATAAACAAAAAATAAGCATAAAATAATAGCACTTTCACCATGCACCAAATAAATATACACAAATGTATTGTGTTACTAAAGTTAATAATTTATCTATTAAGCATTTAGGTTGATAAATGGGTAGTTTTATAAACTGAAGCCTGAAAGAATTTACTAAATATGCTGTAGTACTTCAAAACATTTATACCAAAGTTTATCAATATTCAACTTCAAAGTTAATCAATATTCAACTTCAAAGTTTACCAACATTAAATGTTTAAGTTCACCAATATTTAACTTCAAAGTTCACCAATATTAAACTTTAAAGTTTGCTAACATTATCTTCGAAGTTCAGCAATATAAAACTTTAAAGTTTTCCAACAATGAACTTCAAAGTTTACCAATTTTAACTTCATTACCATTTATGCTAATAGTAAATGACTTTATATCTTTTCAATATCAACACGTAATGTGTTAAAATGATAAATATTTGTATAACTAAACATAATGGGATGAACTACAAAAGTGATATGAATTCTGTCTCATCTAATGAATTATTATAAAGTTTTTATATTCCAATGATAGACACTGTATTTCCTTAATAAAAACAAACTTTAAGTAAACCAAATTAATTAATCTTCAGATTTAAGTTGTAACAATAATTAATACTAAATTTTCTTACAGTTTTTTTTTTATTATATTGGATTAAAACAACATAATATTACAAGTGCATCACATTCACCAACTCACTGATGGATGAATTTTTGGTCAAATTATAACATGGTCCTCTTTTAAAACATTGCAAAAAGTAAGCAGAAATCATCTTATTCGCACACATTGTTATATCTTTTTATATTTAATATGTTTTATATCTAATAAAATTCAGTTACCTATAACAAGCATCAAGTAAATCTTACAATAAAAAAAAATACAAAAAAAACCCTCAACATTGTCCAGAAAACCATATGCTATAACCATGTTTTTGTTTTACAATCGTTTTAATTGTTTATACTATGAATAACATGACAATTTGTTTGTGTTTGAAAATATAACTTGCATACGTAACATATTAATATAACAAGAAAATACATATTTTTACAAGTATATATTAATTTTGCTATCAATTGTGCTGATCACAACAAACATATGCTACAGCATTTTATAATAATCTTGATATAATATTGCTGAATTATAGTAAATAATTTAATGTGATAGTCCAATGTGATAAATGCATTCCTAATGTGGAGATTTATATTGGTCATTGAAAATTGTAAACAATGTGCAACAGTGAAACAACAACTTATATGTTGTAGAGCCAAACTATGATAATGATGTACAAAGCTATGTTCACTCATTTAATGTTTAATGCCTTTTTCCAAATATTGCACTTTTGTTACATCAAAACCTTCTGTACAATATCTATAGATCTATCGCTAATGTTTATGTGTAATATATATGTATTTACTATAGTACAAATACAAATGTTACATCATGTAAACTTAAAACAACAATGCCTTTGTTAATGAACATTTTGGTAATAAAGTTACTTCTAAAGCAGACTCCTAGAATCTCACACAAACTGCTTCATTACCCTAAACCTTTCATTTTCATCCTCCACTTATCTTAACTCTTCAATCAGTTTTATTACAAAGTAATTAAGTATGCATTACTCATATCACAACAGGAAGTGCTTTAATTGTATGTTAGATATAGGTTACAATTATTAACTGTTAGATTGTTAGCAGTGATGCTATAACAGCCTTCAGTTATTGAGAACAGACCCAGGTCTTATAATCAGTCTGATTAGGCTCTATACCATTGGTTGCTTACATTTTGTATTTTATTATAAAAATTCCACCATAATAATAATAAACAACTCCAAATTTAAAGCAGGACAAGCCCATTATACAAATTCAGCAAGGTGAAACTTAAATAAGAGCTGTCTGTAACACAACATGCTTGACTATTCTCAGTTCTTGACTGTAAGGAAAGGGGCATTACTCTGTAAAAAGTAAGTCAAGAGTTATGGGACCTGGCCTCGAAGTTATAAAAACCTTTTCCTGAGTTCTAGCTCAAATCTCAGAATTTTCATTGGTCAGTGTACATTGGCAATTTCTGACCAATTAAATACCTGAGATCTGAGTTTGAGCTTGGCGAATTTCTTTATAACCTCGGACCCAGTTCTCATCATGTAAGAAAATCACAGAGAACAAGTGTGCGAAGTTTCAGCCTATTCCATTCTGTAGTTTTGAAGTTACCAACTTGCATGCAAAAACTTAACCAAAGAGTTGTGGTGATGCCATTGCTGTGGCTGGGTGAGTATAACAGCTCTCACTATTCTTTGAATAGTCAAGCATAAAGATTAAAGATGTTACACGATATGTAGATTATGTTGCAATGGTGATCTTGTGCTGCCTTTTATTGTAAATTTTTGTACATATCTTCTATCTGTGTCTTGAAGAAAACTTTTAGCTCATTTCTCTTTGCTTTAAATGTTGGAGTAAGAAGTTGATTTTCAACAGAGAACAACTCCGGATGTAAATAAATATCTTTTGCCTGGAAACAAATCATGATAATTTTACTTATAAATAAAATGACTTGTTGATATGACATAAATAAAAGTATTTCTTATGAGTAAAGGATTGAACAAACATTCTTTAGTCAACTTGATATTTTTCACGTATACCTAGACATGATGTAACAAAATCAAAATAGCATGTTTTCCTGAAAAAGCATTTGCTATTTTAGTAAGGTTTCTACCTTTCTTTTACTTATTTCAATATTTAAACTAGATATCATGCATTTCAAATTGTTCAAAATCAAAACAACCAGTATTTGGTGGTTGCTCATTATTATCTATTTTTTATTAAGTTTGTTGTTTATTATTATAGTTCACTTTACAATATTTACTAATACACCTTAGTGCAGTAACGGAATAAGTTCTAGATTTAATGTGAGTTAATCAGTTATTACACTAAGGTGACAATATGTTAACATTTTATACCTGTTCAAATGAAGCTAATCCTCCTTTCTTTCCAACACTTGTAATGTCATCTAATATTGCTTTCTTAATATCCTGTCAATGGTAAATAACATGTCTTAAATTAAACATGAAATAAATCACAAACATCCGAAATCTTTGTTTCATTCTAATTGTCATTCTTGTTTTCTGTTTCAAGTTTTATAAGGTAAACAGTGGTTCATCTCCTGGTGTAATACTTAACGGTACTGGTATATTTTCAATGGTTTGTTTTGCTAAACTGTGCCTACATACTGACAAGTTTCCAAAACGATAGACATATAGTTTAGATGATTTGTTTTTTTCCCCTAAACTACGGATGCATTTCAAGCATAATGTAATCTACTTGTATTTGTACAATATATGTTCCGTAATTTAGACAAGTTATTATGTATACATGAAGTTGTTTATGTACCAGGGCCTTTTCCAGCTATTAATTGGGAAATATTATTAATCATTATGGGAAATTTGAGATAATATAATATCTATGTTATATATGAGCAGCATCACGACAAAACCAACATAACGGGTTTGCGACCAGCATGGATCCTGATCAGACTGCGCCGATGCACAGCATGGATCCAGACCAGCCTGCCCATCCGTGCAGTCTGATCAGGATCCATGCTGTTCGCTATCAGTTTGTAAGCGAACAGCATGGATCCTGATCAGACTGCGCCAATGCGCAGGCTGGTCTGGATGCATGCTGGTTGCAAACGCACTATGTTGGTTTTGTCGTGACGCCGCTCATATGTCTTTTAAAGTTTTAACATGTGTATGATCATATAACTTGCCACTACTTTAATAAGAATTAAGTTAAATCAGTTCAATTTTTCTCAGAATTAGAAACACTTTTTTCTGGCTACTGTTGGGATTTTTTTTAATAAGAAATAAAAGAGGCTATTTTGGATTGGGAATGGGCCCTTATTTCGGACCCAGGTGATAAGGAATGCCCTGTGTACTTGAATATCAACTCAGGTCATTTAAAGACTGGCTACATATTATAATAACTTTGTAATTTACCTCATTTTTACACAATTCTTCCATGCTTACAGACAGGTTGAATTTTTCCTTGGCATACCCAGGAAGAGTGTCTGGATCAGGTACAATGATAGCAACCAGACTTGACTGTAATAAATATACAACACTATGGTAATGAAAAAACATATTAAAAAATCTAAAAATGTAGCTCATATTGCAATAAAAAGTTTGTTTTTTAAATTGTGAAAACTATATTTTTAAAATGACGAAATTGTTTTTTGATGTATCTATTGATTTTTTTTTTCTGAAAGAAGAATATATCTTGTCCAATTTTCCACAGTGAACGTAAGTTAAGTTATGGATACAACACTGGCATAATATAAAACTACTATAATTCATGAGTTACTAATTCAACCTTATGTGATTTAACTTATGCTATTTAAGGCATATCCCAGACACATGATCATGTCTCACTTATATACTGACCTTTAAGCTTTCACCATGTATAAAGACTTGAGCAACGAGGGTAGATCTAACATACACATTCTCAATCTTCTCTGGAGCAATATACTCTCCCTGTGCTAGTTTGAAAATGTTCTTCTTTCTATCTATGATCTTTAAACATCCATTCTGAATAAATATAACAAATAATAATAATAATTTACAAGAAATAAAATGTTTGTTTGGTTCTACTGCACACCAACAAAATTTGGGTCATAGAGCGCCAAAACAGGAAATATTATTTTGGCTAACCTCAAGTGTTATAAACTTAAAGCAATATCAGGGGTCAAAACCAATTCATCTACTTGAGCTAAGAGACACATAGACTTCAGTTATTCAAACTCATTTAGTTGCCTCTTATGATAATGCAGGGATAAATATTGGCTCTAATTCTGAGGCCTCAACTTTTAAGGCAATCTCTCAGCCACAAGGGGGTAATAAAATGTAACTTATGTTACACAACTGATGTTACAAATCTGGTAGAAACTTAGTAAATTAACATTCATTATGATGTCTTCACATAAAAACTAACATATCAATGCACTGGAAAATAATAATGTTCAAAATGCTGTAAGGAAGCAAGTGAAAACTATGATATGTATAAGATTTTAGGATTGTTTGTTTTTCTCTACCTTTCTTAATATCTGACATACCACTGTAATAATTTTATTATATAAACAGTTTAAAGTAAAAGAGGTAATAAAACCTACCGGCATCCACTGGCCAATATCTCCAGAGTGTAACCAACCATCTTCATCCATTGCTTCCTTGGTCTTCTCTGGGTCCTTCAAATAACCTTTGAACACATTTGGTCCCTTTATACACACCTACATCATACAATCATTATACTGATTTTAACACTGTTACATACAAAAAAAGTTTAATTTCTTTTTTTCCGAAATATGAAGTATATACATTACTTTTAATATGAAAATAAAAGCCATCAAACCAACCTTTACCTGCAATGATTTTCCTTTTAACTATCAAAAAATAAAAGTACCAATGCACATTACACTTAATTATAAAATTGTTTTACTATACCTCTCCTTTGTCATCTTTGGCCATGTAGTTCATGTCCGGAACATCTACCAACTTTACGTAGTTACATCTCAATGGTGGACCAACATTTCCTACACAAAAGGAAGAGCATAAATAAATATATACATGTACTGTTCACTTTCAAAGGCACATAGGTACTGAATAATACATGTGTGTATACAAATATGAAAGGTAAAGACCTGTGGTGAGATTTTAACATGACAACGACAGAAAATTTATTCTAAGAGGAAGAGAGACTGATGATGTTTAGCAAAATGGTTCCTTCTCAGAGAATGGCTAGTGTGTAGCAAGGTCACATGTAATATAAAGGGATGTTCAAAAGGCAGACAGAAAATCGAGAAAGGTTTTAGTCCTACAACACTATTTCAGGAACAATTTGTCTATGGTAATAAATGTACTGTCATAAAATTTGTTATAAACTTACCAATTTCCCCATCACCAGGTACCTGTAGACTACAGATAGCAGAACATTCTGTCTGACCATATCCTTCCAATACCTGAATAATGTTACCATTTCATAAATATCAACCTTATTTTGATATAGAAACATAATTTTGCATGCAAAATGTTATACTCCTGTCAAAGTAGTACTCACAAGTCACAGGTAGATATACTGTACAATGTGTAAAATAAATTACATTTAAAGAAAATCTATGCCAAATTCAAAGCTGATTATTATTCAATATTTACATGAATTTTTACAATTAGAATATTTAGAATATTTACAATATTTACAGTTCAAGTGTTTAAATTATATGGATTCATTCAAGGTTAGATAGAAACATCTGTTTGATATGTTTATGCCATTTTCTTTGTTATTTATCAACTGATGAAGCTTATAAAAGCCAAACATGTTTTGATAAATTAAGTTAGTTTTTGATCTATTTATCCTACATAGAAACAGGTAGAAAAATTCGAGCTGCACAAGGGGCAGTTAATTAGCAGTAAGCAAATTTTACGATTTGACTTCAAGAGCTTCCTTACATTGATATTAAGATCAAGTATTTACATTGATTAAAACACTCATTTGAATATTAAAAAAGGTTAAAAATGTTTGTATTATGTTATTAAAATAAAACATAAGTACATACAGGACATCCAGCACAACATCTGAGGAACATGAGTATTTTAGGAGAGAGTGGAGCTGATCCTGTGGTTATCAATCTGACTTTACCACCTAGTGTCTGCTGTACTTTACTGAACACAAGTTTGTCCCACCAGGAATCACTTCGGATTATACCACTGTAATATAGCACATTTATCATCATTAATGATGACTATGATGATGATGATAATAATAAGATTGTGATGATGATGATGATGATATGTGGTAATAATGATACATCTGGAAAAAGTGTGATCCATTGGAAGCATTAATCACAACAAAATTACATGAAAATTGCAAATTAGGTTTCATTGAGTCTGTACATAAACCATTTATTTGTAAACCTTTTCTTATCATCACAAAACATTTGTCTTTTTCTTTCCAATTCTTTTTGAATGATGATGATGGTAATATAAATTAGTTTTTTTGTTTACAATAAATAAACCATACTGTTCATAACAAAGTACATACACTACTGTGTTTTATCATAATATTCATGCTATTTAAAGTTACTAAAGCATAACAATTTTCATTTTTAACTGTCGGAAATCATTCAGCTGGTACATTTCTGTTTTAATCATTACAAGTTACATGGTAACTAGTGTACAGGATTTAATATAAGTATAAAATTCTATGAGGTAAATGTTCACTGTTCCAAGACAGATCACCTGACTACCCCTGTATCATATCATTGATGATGAGCCAACTATAGCAATATCTGACAATATTTAAAATATTAAATTTATCTCTCATCTGAAAATCATGTGGCGTTAAATATTTATTACCATTCTTATACCTATCTTTCTCATACAAAAATGTACCACATTTCATATACTTTAAAAGAGTAGCTACATTTAATGAAATATATGAAATATTTTCATAAAATCTTTAAACAGCAGATTTCTGGACAGCAGATATATAGCTTTATACACTTTTAACAACATAAATAAGTAACTGAATCATAAATATAAACCATTTATATCAAAACATACATATTGTATTACAACATACTATTGATATCAAGGAAGTTTTCTATCTTTTTATTATGATATATTGACGATATTTGACTCACCCTTTAACTTCCTTTTCTTTAGATGACAATGCCCATGCAAGCATTCTTGACTTTACTGCACTAGCACTTGCTCCTGCCATCACCTGAAATAAATATTTTGATTTACATGTAATTTTAATAATTTTGCATAAAAAACATGTAACATAAAATAAAGGAAATAACAAAGTAACTTACGATGAAGAGTCTTGAAATGATATAAATCTCTGGAGAGCTATACCCTTATTCTAATAATTGTTTTAAAGCTGCATGCCTCCAGATGAGCGAAAAATATTTCAAGAAAATCAATGGTGAGAAAAATGTATGATTTTAATCAAAGTAAAAATATTTAAGACTCAAGTAATATTTTAAACAATATGATTTTTATCTATTAAATTTCATGTCATTTTTTATTTTTGCATGATACTGCCCAATATGTTGTATGGAAAACCAACAATCTTTGTGATTAAGCCATTGGGCATTTCAACTCTTAAACAGTTCAATATTATATGGTAAACACAAATTTCATAAAATGACAATGTATAGTAATTATACCCAACATACCTTATCATAAACCCTGTTGAGTAATCTTGGTACAGAAGGGAATACTGTAGGTTGTAATTCTTTAATATCATCTAACAACTTCCTCACATCTCCCTGGAAAAACCCAATCCTTCCTCCACCAGAATACATGCATGCCTGCAATATTAAATGTATGTGATGATGATATATTTTATATTTCATGTACTAGTAACTATATTGTGTAAATTACATTATACCATCATAACCTTAGATAATTGTTATCAAATTTCTTTAGTGACAAAATGTGTGAAGTTTTTTTTAAAATTAACTAATGACTTGACTCAAGTCAGATCTTAGAAAACTGATAAAACTCGAATATGTATATAAAACTCATACTTTAAATGTTTTATGTCTGAACATTTATTCATTATAGAAATTAATAACCCTATCTGTGCTAAAACTGACAATTAATGGCTCCTGCCATCAGTATGTAGCCAGGCCAGACTAAACTTTTATGAAGTTGGACCTGACACTTTATTTCTTCTATTAGTAATTCAATATTATATGAAGGGCAGTATTCAACTTGTTTAACATATGAAGGGCAATACATTCTTTAACCCCTACCAAGTTAACTATCATTTTACCATGTCTATCTATTAATCTAGTTTAAAACATTTATCACTTTTAGGGTAAATTATCTAAACATGGGGTGACTAAATAGCTAACAGTGCAGAATAAAGTCAGACAGCACAGACATGCTGATTATGGTCTGCACTTGTCACATTAGTAAAAGCAGTTACAGTATGACAAGTTTATTATCAAGAATAAATAGAGGTTAACAGGTGCATACTAAAAGTACATATACATGTGAAACTAGGATTTAAATTATACATATATTTTAAGATAATTACAACAGAAATCTTACCTCACATAATCTCTCATAGGAATGAGCGAGAGGCAGATAAGATACAAGGCAATCATCAGGTGTCATCACCAAGTTATTGTTGTTCTGAAAATTTACATCAATTAAACATCTAAATACAAGAGTTAACATGAAAGAATCCCAAGTTCCCTGCAAGAATCGAACCTACAGTGATGAGGTACTAGAGGTTAGAAGTCAACAATCTGAGCTACTAGACAATAGACGCCCCGTTAAGACATTGTTTAAATTGTAATATTAGTATGTTTCAAACACTTTGTGCAGTAAATATCTCTTCTAGGTCAGACCAGAAAAAGTCAAGTTCATCTTTATTGCATCTGATATTCACAGTTCTTTAAATTTTCAATTATCAAATGAAATTAAAAAAAGAAATCTGTTTATATCATGTAAGATATAAGTCCAGGCCTACCATCTACCTGACTGCTCCAACATTTTCTCTCTTTTGCAACATAAAGCTCCTTATATTTTCTTTTTCTTTGTTTGAATATATCAATAAACATACTTTGTCTACTGGTTCATGAAGATTAATTTAATCAACAAGTGAGACATTGAAGACAAGTATGAAACATATATGTCTTAATGTAGCTAATTTTTGTAACAAATAATTTTGTAAAGTACTTACAAAAATGTATCCACATGCAAGCACTGGGGCTAAACAATTTTCATGGGTCAACATTGCTCCTTTTGGTAAACCTGTGAAGAAAACAGTGAAAATAAAATTTGTAAGGCACAATTTGTTTATGATTTGTTAAAGCAAATCTTTTTGTAATGTAGTTTATTAGGTCCTTATGCTATGTATTTCTAATGAGCTGGGCAGTGAAATAAAAGAATGAAGGTTTAGTTAATGTCAAGCTAACATTGTATGAGTTACATATTAACTTTTCAGCTTGTACTGGTAAGAGCAGACCTGAGATGTCACTCACAGGCTGGCAATTCTATAGAACATTAAGCCCTCAACAAGCTGACCGGATACATGTGTCTTCTTCAAATGAAAGAAATAAACATCCTAGCAAGTAATTTGAGAGACAAGTAATTTGTAGTTAGCAATATAACAGGCAACAATATTGATATAACACAATAAGGCAGTTTTAAAGGAAGATGAGAGCCCCCACTCTCAGGGCATTACTTTAGACATAAGAAACCATCCATTTGTAAAAAATATCACTAAGAATCCATAACAAGTCAGTAATTTATCTATGTCAGGACTAACCCAACATTAAAATATAAGACAACAAGATGTTAACAAATATATTGTACCTGTTGTACCACTAGTATAACATATCACTGCTAAATCTTCAGGTTTACACGGCTGAAACAAAAGATGTCTTAAATAAAGAAAATCAAATACAAACAATTTTCATAAAGGTCTCAAATCACAAATTTTGTCAAAAATCATTAATTACTCAAATGCTGAAAGTTTGTGATCATTTTCCTTACTAAAAAGATAGCACTATTCAAACTTCTTATATAATAACAATCAAATTAATCAAACACAACCTTCATTTCATTATTTACAATATCAGAGAACTTGTTTATTTTTACCTTTGGTTCCTGAGGAGCAGCCTCACCCTTTTTCTGAAAGAAAATTGTAACTATATTGAGTTTAAAAGATGTCAAGCTGTAAGTGGTAAAATAAACAACAGAAATTTAAAGAACTCTAAAATCATGTTTTTCTTATCATACATGTCATAATGTCCCAGATGTCTGGGAGTGCTAGAAATCTGGTGACTGTCACAGAGGCGTCCTGGAGTTGATTTTGTCCTTTAAAAATAACAAGAACCAACTGTAAGACAGAAGGCATTATAAAAGGCAAGACTTTTGTAAGTACTATATTAAGTATTAACAACAGGTCCTAAAAAGTCACCAAAGGTGACAATGTTAATATTAACTATATACAAATATATAAGAGTAAGAAGACAACATAAACAACAGTATGGGTAACTCTTGATATAATAGTTTACCTCTAGATCTTCATACTGCATCAACTGAACACCATGTTGCTTGGCAAGAGTTTCATTCTCTTCTGATAGTTTTTCCATGACAACCAGAGTTTTGAGATTCGGAGTTTCACTCATTCTACCAAGGAGATTCTTGACCTTTTCATTTTTATCACAAATTATAAGATTGAGTTCAGCTGAAACCAAAAAATCAGTATTGAATAAACTTCTCTTGTTTTACATTTATGGGTGACTGCAGTGATTTTTTTCCTTATATAAATGGCATCAAATAATGGACCCATTCACAATCATGAATGTTCCTTAACAATTTTCAGAATGGGTCAGATGGACCAGTTCAGTTATTAAAAAAATCACTAACAACATCACTTAAGCTTACAATTTTGTCTTATTTTCTAATGCACATAACAAGGTGCATTATGCCATTAACAATTTCTTGTATAGAAGTACAATTCCGTATTTTGTTATTTGTTTTCCATACAAAAAAACTGGTTTCATCATTCTTTTCACATGCTAGTGTGATGCCATTTGACAGTAAAGAATAACACAAAAATCAATTATAGTTTTAACTATGTGTTTATTTCTTATCATTTTGTGCATTTGTTTCTGTTTTAAATGTACCAGGTATTTTAAAGTTTGTGTGTGTTATTGAAAAATGCCCATTTCAATGTGCAGTAGGAGTAATATGATCATGAACGCTATTAGACCTGAATGATTAATTACAGTGCATCCTGGATCATTGTACATTGTTTGTTGCCTACAAACTGTGTAAACAGGTATACATTAACAGAGTAGATATACACTGATATGTATTTCCATTGAACAATGTATCATATAAAAGGATCATTTACCTTGAACAATGATATGATTGCAAGCTTCCACTCCAAGAGTATCATATAAAGGTACAATACACATAGAATATAGATAACTTGCTTGTTCTGCTATGAAATACTGAAAAAAAAACATGAAAGTCAAACCATCTGAGATGTTATGTTTATATATATTTATATATAAGTCAAACCTGTGTTAAAGACTACCTATATACAAATACCACACTGTAAATAAAGACCATTTTTTGACGAACCTACATTATTGAAAATACATATAAAACCACTACAGACAACTTGCGTGTAAAGGCCATGTATGGTCTGTTCTTTGGATGGCCTTTATTCACAGATTTAACTTTACACATGAATTTATCAACAGAAAGCCAAAAGTACAATTATAACCAAAATTAAATTAAACATTTTACAAGTTAATGATTTTGGCTGTTAACCTATTTACAATTTGGTTTGAACTTCCTAGCATAAAATCTTCCTAAATCTTTCTCTACCTATTAACACATATTATAATAGTTTGAAGACTTTATGAAACAGAAAAATTCTTTCAACAAATTAAATGTTTGCTATATAATATGTTTACCTATAGCTGTCATGTTGCTGAACAAAGTCATTTTGAAAATGTTTTCATTGAAAGTCCCCAAAGAAATTCTCAGAAGCCACAAAACTCAAAATCATAATATCGATTCACTTGACATAAAAGTGTTTTACTTCAATCAATTAATACAATTTGAAAGTATGAGTTACCTCTGCCCTGTTTTGGGAGTATATACCAATATGTGTTGAATTTTCAGGTGTTTGGCCAACAGCTATCAGACCTGCTCCAATATGACTGGCTTTTGTTAACACCTTAAATAAATATTGAACATTTTAGATAAAGTTAAAAAAATCTGAAACAACAAATTAGGATATTCATAGAGAGTGACCAATATGATGTAATCATTCATATGTTAAACACTCTATTGTGAAGATGGACAAATCTCTATATATAAAGGAGAATAATATTATACATTGTTTCTATGGGATGTTAAAACTTTTCTTTATATTTGATATAAAATTTTATACACATTCTCTCTATGTGAAGTAAATCTTTATGTGATGTTGAACCAATATCCATGTGTTTAAATAATATAACTCTATAATTATGAGATGTAAAAGATATTTATATATATGAGATGTAAATAAGAGATGTAAAAGATATATATATATATATATAAGAGATTATATATAAGAGATGTAAAAGATATATATATATATACAGTGTAACTTCCGAAAACCGAACACCCATGGGACTTGTTAAAAAGTTCGGATTTCAGAGGTTTCCGGAATTCAGAGGTTTATGATAATGTGGACAAGACTAAGCCACTTAATATCACTAAATGTCAAGGAAGATGTGGCCATTACTGTAATATCATATATAATAGTCTTTTAATCAAGATAAAGATGTGAATGAAAAGAATACATTTTTATCTTACACCTGAAAATGCTTTCGAATTTCTATCAGTTTGTAGAAATGTTGTTAATGTTGTTAATTGCATAAACTTACATATCGTCCGATGCTAGTTAATTAATTATTACATCAAATGCAATAAAATCCCTATAGACGTTTGATGCATACATTGTCCCAACTAATTGTGATTTAATCCGCTAATAAACACTTCAAATTAACTGACCGCGGTAAATTACTTTGATTAACCGCATCACTTCAAACATACCATTTCACAGTTTGTGATTTTAACGCGTGTCAAATTACATGATCACCGCTAATTAGTAAACAATCAATAGGGAGATTAAATCTTCCTGCAGGGTAAACATTCTCGATTTACAATGTATTTCACACCTTTGGATATTTCCGGTTTTCAGAGGTAAAATTGCATTGATTTGACTCTAATTTTACGAAAATATCGTCCGGAATTCAGAATTTAGAAGTTCCGGAATTCAGAAGTATTATATATATAGAAAATAGAAGGGAAAAAATCGGGACCGAAAAAATTGTTCGGTTTTTTAGAAGTTTCCGGATTTCAGAAGTTCCGGAATTCGGAAGTTACACTATATATATATATATATATATATATATATATATATATATATATATATATATATATATATGAGATGTTGCTACATTATGTAGTTTTAGGTTAATAAATTTATTAAATTTTTTATTTTCAAATAGTTAAAGCATTAATGATTATGTTCCAATCAAAATAAGATGGACAGATATGCCAACTAAAATTTGATATAGAGCCATTTGTTTTTGTTCTTTCAGTTTACAGATAGCTAGCCTCCTAATATATTTTAGATGCTTAGACAGATGAAAGAACAGAAAAAGGACAAACAATGCCAAATCAAAATCCCTTCCAACTTCAAATGAGGGATAATTATTGCATTTTTATGCATATTGTATATTGTTCAATCAAACTCCTCAAGCAACCACTTAACATCATCATGTATTTATTACATAATAGGATCAAACCACTTACTCTATGTTAACAACCGGAAATCTATGCACTAATCAATGCACTTTTATTTGTAGACATTGTCCAAGTGTTCTTACATAATAACAACTAATTTCATATTGATATAACAATTAGCTGTGTACTTTAGCACTAGTACAATTATATTCTGTAGGATCAATTCCACATATACCAGCACATATAATTATTACTTAAATGTTTATATATTATCAATAAGGCAATTGTACAGTTTTAATAACAAATTTGAGATTCATATATATAACATTAATAGCTAAAATATTATTTAGTAGGAATAATGATGAAACATGCTTGTAACTTCCTGCAACATAAAGCACAAACAAGATATGTTTGTAAAACATGTATGCCCCCTATCGGCAGCCAATTTGTCATGTGATCAGGTTATTATGCATGACTTCTGACCCAGTGAACAAGCAATTAATAAGGGTTATCTAGTATCTACTGATCATGACTAGTCACAAGGTAATAATTATTGTGACCCCATAGGTTTTGTGCAGCAATTAAAGTTATTAAAAATCTTACCAACCAATATATACATAAATTTTATGAATCACATAGGCCTCATTAATGACAGCCAAGTTGTTACATATTACATAGGACCTTCAAATGTGTATACCAAACAACATAAAAATATCAACCAAGGCAACTTGAGTTGTTGAGTTATTGGTCAGAAACGGTTATTAAGTACAAGGTCACTATGACATTGACCCCTTGACCCCAAAATCAATAGGGGTCATCTACTGGTCATGACCAATCATCATACCAAGTTTGAAGTTCCTAGGCATAAGGGTTCTTTAGTTATTGATCGGAAACTGTTTTTACCTACAAGGTCAATGTGACCTTGACCTTTGACCCTTGACCCCAAAATCAATACTGTTCATCTGCTGGTCATGACCATTCATCATACTAAGTTTGAAGTTCCTAGGACTAAGGGTTCTTTAGTGATTGATCGGAGACTGTTTTAACCTACAAGGTCAATGTGACCTTGACCTTTGACCCCTTGACCCCAAAATCAATAGGGGTCATCTGCTGGTCATGACTAATCATGATACCAAGTTTGAAGTACCTAGGCCTAAGAGTTCTTTATTTATTGATCGGAAACCGTTTCCACCTACAAGGTCAATGTGACCTTGACCTTCCCCCTTGACCCCAATATCAATAGGGGTCATCTGATGGTCATGACCAATCATCATACCAAGTTTGAAGTACCTAGGCCTAAGCGTTCTTTAGTTATTGATCAGAAACCGTTTTTACCTAAAAGGTCAATGTGACCTTGACCTTTGACCCTAAAAACAATAGGGGTCATCTGCTGGTCATGACCAACCGCCATACCAAGTTTTAAGTTCCTTGGCCTAAGGGTTCTTTAATTATTGATCGGATACTGTTTTTACCTATAAGGTCAATGTGACCTTGACCTTTGACCCCAAAATCAATAGGGGTCATCTACTGATCATGACCAATCACCATACCAAGTTTGAAGTTTCTAGGCCCAAGGGTTCTTTCGTTATTGATCGGAAACCATTTTTACCTACAAGGTCAATGTGACCTTGACCTTTGACCCCTTGACCCCAAAATCAATAGGGGTCATCTACTGATCATGACCAATCACCATACCAAGTTTGAAGTTCCTAGGCCTAATGGTTCTTTAGTTATTGATCGGAAACCGTTTTTACCTACAAGGTCAATGTGACCTTGCCCTTTGACCCCTTGACCCCAAAATCATACCAAGTTTGAAGTTCCTAGGCCTAAGGGTTCTTTAGTTATCACTCGGAAACCATTTGGTCTACGGACCGACGGACCGACAGGTGCAAAGCAATATACCCCCTCTTCTTCGAAGTGGGGGCATAATAATTGTGATCATGTCCCCTTCAACATAAATAGCCAAGTCTTTGACTTTTGTATTCTTAGAACCCTTGAAAAAGCTCCGACCTGCATGGAACATTAGACAGTAAAATCACTTTTAAAAGCCCCAGCACTACAATTCAGACATATCCCTGATTATTTTAAGTACCAAAACAAAGCCACTGCATCAACCCAGTTGTATGGGGACAGACTGTAAGTAAAACCAAGAGTCATTCCCCCCCCCCCCTCCAATGTGTAGGGGGCAGTAAGTCTATAAATGACTGGTGTATAACAGCTATCTTTTGATAAAAGATTTATTTCACAGTAGTGATAATAATCACTTGTCTATATCATCAATACAAAACAAGCCTGAATATTTGTGCTGTCATGTGACCAGGTTCTTTATTGGTAGATGCGTGATTTTAATTAATTCAATGACAACAAAATCCCTCAAAATTAATGATTGACAGTTGTGAAAGTGAAATCCAAGCAGGACAAGTCTTATGTTTCACATAGGTAAAGGTTAACGGCTAATTTCTGTTACTGTAGATGTTTTTTTTTTATATAGAATTATCTGGGCTGACTAGGAAGGAGATTTTGAATATTTTCTACTTACATCATTATAGGATATCCATGTATATGGTTCAGTTGCACTGGGTTTCCATCCCAAACATCTCCCATTATCTGGAAAATATGTATATATACATCAACAGTTACGAAGACCATTAAAGTCAAAATTGTTATATTTTAACAGTTAAACTAGGCTGACAGAAATAGGAACCATTGTTAGGAACCATTGATGGAAAAGTGATTTCAAATTTCATTCGAATCAAACAGCAACGCCAGGTGACTTGACTTCTCAGAACAATTTTGAACAAGTAGAATTGTATAATGCATTTAAGTCTAACAGCAATAAAGGCCTTTACCTAAACCCATGAGCAATATATCTGAATTAATTCTAATAGATCTGAATCTGACAATAAACTGTATGTTTCAAACAGTTTACAAGTAGGACATATGGGACACTACAAATATACAAGCACAATGAAGAACATTTGGTAGGGTTAAATTTCCTAATCATCAGCATTAACCTTACACCTATACTACACAAACTTATCTCAGAATTCACAATCTGATGTCAGAATATAACATATTTTAAAACAGTTTCTTTCTTCACAAACTTGTGAGAACTAACAAATGCTAAAGCTTAAAATAAACATCCTGCCTTCTAACAGGTTTCTCTCCAGCTGTTCACATTCATACATCATATCTCTATTCATTATTTGAATGGCAAATATTTTCTCTCATTCAAATGAATATGAAGACTGCAAACATGCATATCAAATAGGCATGTAATATATTTAATAAGATTTTACACTAACTTGACAATCTTGCCCCTCTTTTGAATGCGTCGGATAAGGTCCTGACATCTTCTTCCTCAAAAGCAACTGGTTTACCGTCTTTAGCTTGTCGGCTGATTTTTGCATCTTTTTCTTCCTGAAAATAATAAATAATACAAAATTGTAATGTGTAACAAACAAATGATGGAGGTATAATTATTGATACAACACTAATATAAATGACATATTGTTAAACACAATATATTCATCATTTCTGTATCAAGATTGCTTGACACCAGTACTAACTTTTACTTGGTCTTATATAACTTTGTCTTATATGTACATGAATAGTGACTAGTCTTTGTCAAGAAAGTACTATATTAATGTTATGCTTGAGTTATGAATTATATAACTAAACACTATAGACTCAATAGTATTCTAGAAGTAAGGACCTCATATAAATGATAATCATGACTGGGGCATCCTCTTTTATGACAAGTTGGTTCATGACAATATTCTGTAATGTCATTCTTTCTCCACAACTCTTTCAATTGATGTATGAGAAGAAGTTGTCATTCCAAAAATCATCATCATCATCATCATCAACAACAAAACTGATACAATTTTCCAGCATGATAGTGTCTCTCAAACTCATTGCCTAAGTTACATTAATTTAGTTTGTTTTTAACTTATTTTAAAAAAAAAGAAAGTTTTATATAACAGGGACCTTTAATTCAGGAAGTTATACAAAGTCTGTTTATACATGGAGGTATATAATTAAAGTCATCTCTTGATTGTATAAATTATTTAAAATATTTAACTTCCTTTACATATACTTGCTATATAGCATGAACTTACAAAGATGCAATACAAACAATCAAAACACTTAAAATCTTTTCATCGCATGATTTTACAAATAGTTTCCTCTTTCATAGTCCAAAGTATTTGTTTACAATTCTTTTTAGTCATATAAAGTAAATAATTTTCAGTAAATAAAATGTGTGTATCTGAACCTTGTGAATATCTGTCATAATAGTTTAGTAATTCTGACTCCATTATAATCATATTTATTTTATTAAAATGATTCTTTTATGTGAAGTGACTATTTTTTTTCTTTTTACACTTAATCAAACACTGGTCCAAAAAAATTGTTTCCTTACAAGCAAGAGGTTATTCAAAATACATGTACTTTTTCAGCATGTATTTTGTTGGTATAATAATTACAGTTTAAACTGCCATAAAAAAGGTTTGATACTCATATTAACCAGCTATCTGAGTTATCAATCATCATACAAGTTGGTGCAACACTACACTATATCTGTATATTAACAACACTAAATAAACCAGTAATACACTATAGCTTAGTGAACATATAAAATTTTGTGACTTATAAAAATGACATATTCATCAAATAAGGTTAAGTCAATCATATATCTTCACTTTGAACCTTCCCTTATAGAGGATGACACAGTTATATTTATTATTATGTAGGATTGAAACATCCTGTAGTCTTAATAATACATGTAGTATAATTGTGTGATGTCAATGGATGAAACTCGTCATCTGTGGTTTAAGACCTCATGAAATATGGTAAAATGACCTGGTATTGTACTTAAAAGTTAAGGGATTTCACAAGAAAAGTCAAGCACAGCTGATGGTCTGATCTTCAGTCAGAGTCTAATGAAGTTACAAGTATAAAACTTCATAGAAAATCAACTAGCACACTATACAAGCTATTTGTTGACTTCATATGAACATAGTTTACAGACTCTGACAAGAACTTGAGAAATTAAACAAGAGGGCCATGATGGCCCTAGATCGCTCACCTGATTTATCAAACTCATCCAAACAATTACCTAGACAAGCATTCTGACCAAGTCTCATGACAGGTGAGTCAAAAATGTGACCACTACAGTGTTAACAAGGATTATCCATATTTGAGCAGTGCGAACTAGTTTTTTACCCAGGTGACACATATTCAAACTTGACCTAGAAATCATCAAAACAACTTTTACACCAATTTCAAGGCTACTTGGATCAAAACAGTAACAACTAGAGTGTTAACAAGATTTTTCTATTTTTAGCTCCGGTGACCTAGTTCCACATGCGATTTCGAACTCATCCAAGCAATTACCTATACAAGCATCCTGACCAAGTTTGATGATAATTGAGTCGAAAATGTGACCACTAGAATGTTAACAACGTTTTTCCATATTTGGGCGGTGTGACCTAGTTTTTTTTCATCCAAGATGACCAATGTTCGAACTTGACTTAGAAATCATCAAAACAAACTTTCAGACCAATTAACAGAATATTTGGATCACAACAGTAGCCACTAGAGTGTTAACAAGATTTTTCTATTTTTAGCTCCGGTGACCTACTTTTTCATCCGAGATGACCCATGTTCAATTTCTTCCCAGCAATGACCTAGACAAGTTTCCTGACCAAGTTTGATGACAATTGAGTCAAAATTGTGACCACTAGAGTGTTAACAAGGTTTTTCTATTTTTAGCTCCTGTGACCTAGTTTTTCATCCGAGATGACCCATGTTCGAACTCATCCGAGCTATCACCTAGACAAGCATCTTGATCAAGTTTGATGATGATTGATGCAAAAATGTGACCACTAGAGTGTTAACAAGGTTTTTTCTATTTTTAGCCTCGGTTGACCTACTTTTTCATCCGAGATGACCCATGTTCACACTCATCCGAGCTATCAACTAGATAAGCATCCTGACCAAGTTTGATGATGATTGATGCAAAAATGTGACCGCTAGAGTGTTAACAAGGTTTTTTCTATTTTTAGCTCCGGTGACTTACTTTTTCATCCGAGATGACCCATGTTCGAACTCATCCGAGCTATCACCTAGACAAGCATCTTGACCAAGTTTGATGATGATTGATGCAAAAATTTGACCGCTAGAGTGTTAACAAGGTTTTTCTATTTTAAGCTCCGGTGACCTACTTTTTCATCCGAGATGACCCATGTTCGAACTCATCCGAGCTATCAACTAGATAAGCATCCTGACCAAGTTTGATGATGATTGATGCAAAAATGTGACCGCTAGAGTGTTAACAAGGTTTTTCTATTTTTAGCTCCGGTGACCTACTTTTTCATCCGAGATGACCCATGTTCGAACTCATCCGAGCTATCACCTAGACAAGCATCTTGACCAAGTTTGATGATGATTGATGCAAAAATGTGACCGCTAGAGTGTTAACAAGGTTTTTCTATTTTTAGCTCCGGTGACCTACTTTTTCATCCGAGATGACCCATGTTCGAACTCATCCGAGCTATCACCTAGACAAACATCCTGACCAAGTTTGATGATGATTGAGGCAAAAATGTGACCTCTAGAGTGTTTACAAGGTTTTTCTATTTTTAGCTCTTGTGACCTAGTTTCTCATCCGAGATGACCCATGTTCGAACTCATCCGAGCTATCAACTAGATAAGCATCCTGACCAAGTTTGATGATGATTGAGGCAAAAATGTGACCGCTAGAGTGTTAACAACTAAATGTGAACGGACGACGGACGGACGACGGACGACGGACAATCATCGATCCTAAAAGCTCACCCTGAGCATGCTCAGGTGAGCTAAAAACCGATAACCATAGTTAAATCTCTGACCATTGAAAAAGGAAAATATTAGTGAATTTTGTCAAATATATCTATCTGTCTTATGGATGTACACCTTTTAGATGCTGACTATAGTATACAGCTCTCCCACCTTTGTAACAGAATGAACAATAGACAGCCTTACAGATGACAGTTCACTGGCTAGATACATTGCTTAAAAAATCCAGCAAAAATGATGTGTTTTTTACTCAAGTATGCCACGAATGTAAACTTCTAAAGATAATGGTTAAAATCCAAGCTAGACTTTCAATGTGGACATCCTCTCTATCCTGTACAACACAGACCTTCAAATAATGTTATGTATCCACACAATCATTAGAGTATATTATGATGAAAGTTCTAGTGCCCAAAACAAGCTAAGTACCTGGTGTTATCATAATGTGTCAACTGCCATCAATCTTTTGAGACTTATTATAAAACTAAAAGAAGACAAACACAAAGATAACCAAAGATAACATCAACACTCAGTCCTGTACACTAAGACCAATATGAGACGGACACTCGGACAGCATCTGGATGCCAATATATATTAATTGAACAAATCTTTTACCATTTTATTTCCTCTGCTACTTTTTAATGACAAAAAATATTATTTTACTAAAACATTCAATAATCTCTTATAATTTATAGGCCGAAGAAAAAAAATATTATTTTACCATCAGTTTTTTGTTAAAGTACATTTTTAAGACAGCTTTATAATACAATAACAATGTTTATGAGATATTTTATACCACACAATATTATCTTTTATTACAAGGTCATACCTCTAGTTATGGTCACTGACTTTCAGACTATTAAAAGTTCAAATGTGCTTTAATACTGTTGTATCACATTACATGAAATATTTTTAGATTACCATAAACAAGAATATAAAATGACACCAATAGATTAACCCCAATCAAAAATATTGCTTGTATTATAGTTTGGGGACCTTTCTGTTGAAAATGTGTCAGAGTTATATCTTATACATATACATGTACATGCACAGTGCGTTAACAGGTAGGTATTTAAGTACCCACACTCCAGAGCATGCCAACTGATTGGGTCATTTTTTCTCTGGTTAACTTATTATGGAGGCAGAGAATGGGAATATCATATTGGTTTCTTTTTTTTCTGGGGTTTCATATTGCGACAACAGGAACCTGTTTTTTATTTTGCCTATGATATAAAAGAAAAAGAACGGAGGGGGGGGGGGGGGCGCAACACTCTTACAAATCAGATAGCCTTGTGTTTCGATGCTCTTTCTATTACTTAACTAATAGAAAAAGTACTAACTTAAAATTTTAACCTTAGTGACAGAACCTGGCCCAATTAGCTTCAAACTTAACCCAATGTCTATATAATTTACAGAAATCTCAATATATAAGAAGCTGTTCTTTAAAACACACCAACACTGAATAACAGTTACAGTCCTATACCAGCCTTACTGGTGAATTTAAATTAAGGAAGACCTTGGTTGCCCCTCCTTGGATAATTTCAGAAACAAAAGAGTGCCTGAAAGGAAAAAAAACAACAAGTTTTTCTTAAGCCAGGTGAATGGCCTTTTTATATGAAAGCTAGAATTTGAAGTCCCTGGTGATATTTCAACATTAAGCAGTGAGGAGCAAATGCTGTATGTAAGTATTCAAGGATTAATGAGGGTCCAATCACCTTTTCAGGCACTGAGAGTTCATCCCCCGGACATGTCACCATTCATGTCCTTAAAGGTATAATTCCAAAAAGTGATTTATAAATTTTGAATTCAGTAATTTACTGAATCATACTAAATTTGTATGCGAGTCAATTTTTGTGATGTTCAGGTCCAGGGAAGAAAATTGAGAAAAACCGAATTCCTAAAGAATGATCCCTAAGTAATACCCAAAACAACAAAATTGGAAATGTTGCAGTCTATAGGTTTGATTGAGTCAATGTTCATGGAACACCCCCTAGCATGCATACCAGTATACCTAGATACATTTCTATGAAATCAGTCTTTACTTGAATTTAAATTACAGTTCCATGGTAAATAGTTCATTGTCCTTTTACTGTATATTATTTATTAATATGTCACTTGGAATTGAATTGCCAATCTTTCAATCTGGACAAACCCATTTTTCATTTTCAGGGAAAAGATAAAAAAAGTACTAATAGTGCAAATGCACTAGTTTACAGTAATTACAATTTTCTATGTTTTATTTTTTTTTTCAAATAAATTTTTTACTGCATACAAAATTTAAAACAGGTAATATTTATACATATAATAAGCAGGTATAAATATATTGATAATCAATTAGCTAGATCTATATCATCCATCATATATTGTTAATGTTAATACACTGATTTACACTAACTTAATGTGGAGAAGTTATTTACAGCATGAGATCATAGCAAATACCTGTACAACTCTTACATATATACCTGGAAACCTAAATACCTTTAACCATAGGTGTAGAAACTACATGAAAATACAAGCAACTAATTAAATATTACATATCGTTACCCACTTCAGGCTGTAGTAAAAACAATGCAGTCTTAATTATTCATAGTCACATGCAATGAAATATACACATGTACATGAAAATAATATATACATGTCGAACAAGACTTCAAGTTCGTAATCCTACACCAACACACCTGGTCTATTTACTAAACTTTTCACAAACTTATTGGTTGAATTTCTATAATCCATGCACAAAATTAACTATAAATAACTGATTTTACATACCTCAATCGGAACAGACTGAATGTTGTAAAACTCTTCATTCTGTGGATTAAATTTACTAGCTGAAAGCCCCATGTTCCTTTAATCACATAAATTAAGCACTTGATTTATCTCAAATACCTGTCTTTAAACTTGTTTTTAAGTGAATTTATAAAACACACACGAACACACACTATAACTACCAGTATTTCTTGCCTCAAGTCAGGTATGACAGTGTACTAACATTTACTTGTCACTGATTTTCCATCTTAAATAACTGTAAAAACAAGGTATGGTCAACCAATCAAATCAAACAAAATCACATTGATGTTATTGTCCTTGAAGGTCATGTCCATTTTGTGAATCCTTTCACTAGCTCTTTACTTCAATATACTGTTATTGAAAGTATTTCGCATAAACAATTCTCTGCTAAGTAGTACAATAAAATTGATAATTATGAGAATAAATGTAGTTTAAATGCACTTATAACAGGTAATCTCCACACTGGTAAATGTAAAGGCAGTAGAGTTTAACAGTTGTCTTACAACTTGTTATTAAAATGTCTCCATTTAACACTAAAAATACTAAAGTAAAGTAAGTCCAGCTTTCTGAAGTCACAAATCAATCACTTGACATAGTTTCAGTAATAAAGTACTATTTATTATATGAACGAGAGGAAGTAAGTAAACATCCTATAGACGTAAACAAACATACGTACACATGTTGGGAACAACAATTATTTAGCCAACCATATAAGGAAGTTTATCTTATTATTTCATGTATATTCTACTACATCACTTACAGGAAACAGTCTCTAACACTTAAACTATTTTTTTTTTCTGTTCTGATAAATCAAAATTAAAGTTAACATATTAATAACATAATCCTTGACGTTATGAGTGTTTTTATAATGTTAACAGTGAAACTTAAAGGCTAATATGGTATTTCCTTCAAATAAAAAATCCATAGTCACATTATAGTACAGTGTGTATTATAATGAGTCATCAAACATTAGAAAATAGCTCAACATTTAATACTACAGACATGTTTTAAGATCCTCCTTAAAATCTAACCTGCTTAAATTAATGTGAAAGTCAATAGAGTTTTTATTTACTGAGAGACACTATTTATATTACAGATAAAAAGAGAATCATCAAATATAAATAAAGGCATGACAAAAAGTCACCCCATTATTATACTAAATTGCATCAGCAATACTGGCACCATTTTGTTTTCATTCATTGCCTGTAAGCTGATTCTGACAAATGTTCTATAAATAAACATGAAATTAACAGTGAAATTCGAAGAAACTTGGCCAATAAAGTAACTAGAACAATATCCTGTTATATGTTCCAGAAGATATACAGAACATATTAATTCCCAAGACACTCTGATGTATAATGTATTGGATCAGAAAAGTAACAGCTGATATTCTTTTATATCTTTAGATAAATAATAAATATACATGTACACAAATTGACTGTTGTGGTCATATGAAATCTTAATTTTCTCATAACAAACAATATCAAAGTAACTTGCATTGGTCTACAATGGGCACAGTCTCCAAGTCGATAAAAATAACAGAATGTGTCATTTGGTTATTCTTCTAATATATTACTTGAAAAATAATGTTGATTAGCTTCTTACTAACCGACTAACCTAAGTTATTTAGTATGAACATTTTATATGATGAATAATAATAATTTGTTCTAGAACAATTTGTTCTCTGCTATATTAATATATGTTATATAGGATCATGTATCTCACAGTTGCCAACAACATCCATATATATATATAATTTTTTTGTGGTTTATTGTTATGTCTGATTCTAGATATTTAAACATAATTATTTATTGTATTACAGACCTTACTGGCTTATATTATAGGCCAATTCACTTCAATTTAATTGTGATGTATAATATTTTCAGAAAGTTTGTGGTAAGGGTGTCAATAAAATATCAAGGACTGAAGGTTTAACAGATACTAAGACCATGTTTCTTAACAACTCCATATAAGTTAGTTTAGGAAGTGGACACACAAGAATTTAACCTAAGTATATAGAACTTATGTGTCACAAACAATTTTCCTATTCCTACTCAATGATAAGGTTTCAAATATAAAATATGACATCAGTTAAAGACTGATTCAAGATACAAGTGAGACTAATCATGTAGGACTGTGTATAATATCAACCATTAAGCCTATCTTGAAGAAAACAAACCATAATTATTATTTGTTTATTATTTATGCATAAACGGACCGATATCTTTTTGACAACGAAGAAAACATTCATTTATAGAAGGAATGAATGAATCTTTTAATAAATTAATAATGGCTTATACCATTAACATTTAGTTAATGATCCTTAACCCAAATTATGGCACTGCTCTAGTATACTCAAGAGTTGTTTCCCCTGCACCAGAATCTTCCAATCTACATAAATGTTAACATTCTTACATTGAACTGTTTGATTAACATATTAAATTTCCTATTTCAATTGAAATTCCTCAGGGAAATGTTTAATGCTTTATGGGAATGTAACTAAAACCTGTCCTCATAAAAGAAGCATTTTAAACCTTTCTCACTTAGGAAAATTGTTTAATTAAACCTCTACTGACTAAAACTCTCCTCACATGAATAATCTTTAAGATTAACCCTCAACTCACTGGTAAGTTGTTTACATCTCTCCTCACTCAGGGAAGTTAATTTAACTTTTCCTTATTTTGGAATTAAGACCTCCTTATTAGGGAAGTCATTTCAACTTATTCTCACTAGGAAATCCATGCATATCTCCTCACTAAACTTTTCCTCATTAGAGAAGTCATTTAAGCCTCTCCTCCCTAGGGAAGTGATTTAAACCTGTACTCAATAGGGAAGTCATTTAAACCTGTACTCAATAGGGAAGTCATTTAATCACCTCTTCCCCAGGAAAGTCAATTAAACCTCTCCTCCCTAGGGAAGTCATTTAAACCTTTTCTTCCATGAAAAAATTTAAAACTCTTCGGAAAGTAGTGACCAAATTAAAGAAGCAGTAACACATGTAAATTTTAAAAACTTCAAATTACATACAACCAAAAACCATAAAATACTTCCTACCAACCACTTTTTGTGATCTGTGTCAGGCAGAGAACCAATACAAAAGTTCGACCAGGTTTTTGTTTTTTTCAAAACATTTTTTTTTATAATTCCTTCTTTTTTAATTGGATAAACTATAAAGCCCGCTCATTCAAGTGAGTAACCCAAACATGAATGTTTCTTTGGAAAAATCATTATTTTTGTCTCAAAGATTGTTCAAACATGAAGTTTCAGTTTCAAACCAAAACATTCTAAGTACATGTATGGGCTATTCACTTGAATGAGCAGGCTCTATAATTAATTAATCTCATTAATAATACTGAAATATCAAAAAATAAATTAAAAAGTATTTTTGGAGATTCTATATACCTAAAACTCAAAACTAGACAGGGCTGATTATTTACCTCAGCTTCGATTGATTGTTCTGAGAAGTCACAGTTGTTGAACGGTTTGTGTTTATTCATCAACATGTAAGCTGCTGCAGTGGCCACCACAGTGCCAGTTCCTACCAACTTTAACACATAATCATCCATTCTGCTGAACCCTGAAAATATCAAAATAAAGTAAAACTATCACTGGTATAGACTATTATTGTACAACTATCACTTGTACAGGTAAAGTCTATTATTAAATCTATCACTGGTACAAACTATATTGTATAACTATCACTTGTACAGGTAGTCTATTATTGTAAAACTATCACTGGTACAGACTATTATTGTGAAACTATCGCTGGCACAGTCTGTTACTTTAAAACTATCACTGGTACAGTCTGTTATTGTAAAACTATCACTGGTACAGTTTATTATTGTAAAACTATCACTGGTACAGTCTATTATTGTAAAACTATCACTGGTACAGTCTGTTATTGTAAAACTATCACTGGTACAGTCTGTTATTGTAAAACTATCACTGGTACAGTCTATTATTGTGAAACTATCACTGGTACAGACTATTATTGTAAAACTATCACTTGTACAGTCTATTATTGTAAAACTATCACTGGTACAGTCTATTGTTGCAAAAAGTCCATTATTATTAAACTATCACTGGTGCAGTCTAAAACAAATCTATGATATATTGATATCCCATGACAAATATTCAAAATATTTACTGACCAAAAAGCGAAAAAGGGCAGATCATAATTACACAGTATGGATGTGCAGGCAGATATATTATCACAATGTTTCTATGGGTAGAACCTCAGGCCACCAGCAGGCAAAGGTGTAATGATTTCATTAAGTAAATACACTGTGCATTACCATAACAAAATAAATTTCTGAGCTGCTGATTACATTTTTGCCAACAGTTTGAGTATTAAATTGATGTGTAGTTATTTGGTGATATAATTTCTTCAACAGTTACTGCATTATATCTTAGTTTAATTAACCAGGTTGCAATATCAATACAAATGCCAATATCAGACCAATTATTCTATATATTGGTTAATATATTCAAAGCAATTAAAACGAAAATAGTAAAAGTAATGAAACAACAAGGGTTTTTGTCACAAAAACATGTCTCCCAAAACTAGGTACATTTTTGTATGGTATTGAATAACTGATCACTCCTGTGAATTTTGGTCGAAATCACGCCAGCAATTTGACCTGTGAAATTTTACTATTTATAGTTGTGGCAGCTTATATGTGAAGTGAAGCAGAATGTGCCCACAATGTGCACAACTAGGTATGGTACTGATCATTCCCGTTAAGTAATGTCAAAATCCTGCCTGCAGTTTGACCTGTAAAAGCTGGACAAGATTTTACTTTTATAGCTCTGGCAATCATTTTGTTCAGCAAAGTGGAACATGCTAGCAATATGCACAACAACTAGGTAAGGTAATGATCACTCCTGTGAAGTTGCAAGGAAATCCAGCCAGAAATTTTACCTGTAAAAGCTGGACAAGCTGAACGCAGACAAACCTACATCCTCAAAGTTTGGTTATAACTGGCTACTATTTTGTTCTCTCCTTTGTTCTTTTAGCCATGTAAGAGAAAATATAGCCACAAAAAAGAGCTTACTGAATGAATAGCATCAAAGATTTACTGTTAACTATTGTTCCAATAGCCATTGATCCCATGTTTGTACGGATGAACAGAAGGAAGGAAGGATGGACAGACAGCAAATGCCAATGCTATAATTTCTGGGAGACATAATTAGAAAACTAACATCTTACATGTACATGAGAGTAAACTTCATTAAGTTTAGTTTATATATTTATCATGTTAATATTCTGATATTCTCATTTTGTAATTACTTTATCATAAGATATCAAAGAATAATTTTTATCTTTATTAAAAATATACAGTTACGTTTTAATCCATTCCAGTAATTTCCCCATAGAAATATAACATTTAGAGAGAAACTTTATCAGGAAAATATATTTAAGATGCCTCCAATAATAAAATTCTAGAATTATCATAAAGTGTTTCTTCATTTCCAGGAAAACTGTGGTAAACACACAGAAATAGAACATTAAGTTAATTGTGGTAATAAAACAAACATGTAGGATCTGATGTAAATGTCTGTTTTCTAGGACTTGTTGCTGCATGCTACTTTATTGTAATAAAACAACATTATGATTCAACACAGTGTACAGCTGTATAAGGTAATATACATTAGACAATCACCTGTCATTAATTGAAACTTTGCTACCTTCATATTCTGTTCAAACAGACACTTTTTTAATTCTAATTAATAGAACACTTCAACATAATACATAATTAGCTAAATATCAATACATTTCCATTCCACTGAGTTAATTTGTCTTGTACATAATAATAAACAGGAGGGCATTAAATTCATGTCACACAA